CTGAACACAAAATAAAAAACATATTAAAATTACATTTTGTTAAGCGATATTTTACAACAAGGCTGTTCAACACTCAGTCCAAAATCGTGGGCTAAAAATTTTTTTACGAAGTGTATTATATTCCCAAACTTGTATTGAAAAACTACAATTAATTACTGATATCTTAATTTCGAATATACATTACAAAAGGTTGGTCAAAAATATATAAAACACAAAGGACAAAATGATAATAATACGATGTTTTAAAACAGCTTTAGAACAGCTAGCAGAGTAACTAACACCTGATACGCGGGTTGGAAAAAATTTGCCCGAGGGCGGGGGGGGGGGGGTGTTGGAAATCGAAAGTTTTAGTGCTGGGGGGGGGTGCAAATCGAAAGTTTGAGGGGGTGCAAATCAATAGTTTTAGCGGGGGGAAATTCAAATCAAAAGTGGTGCAAATCAAAAGTCTGAGGGGGGTACACATCGAAAGTTTAAGGGGATGGGGCGGAAATTGAAATTTTGAGGGGAGGGGGTGCAAATCGTAAGTTTGAGGGAGGGTCAAATCGAAAGTTTGAAGGGGGGGGGAATTTCAGATCAAAGGTAGTGCAAATCGAAAGTCTGGGGGGGGGGTGCAAATCAAAAGTTTAAGGTGGTGGAGTGGAAATTGAAATTTTGAGTGGAGGGGATGCAAATCGTAAGTTTGAGGGAGTGTCAAATCGAAAGTTTGTCCCCGGGCGCCGGAAAGGGTCGCTACGCCTCTGTTTTGTAGTCATTCACAGTGTCAGACGTAGGCGCTCGAAAAGGGCGCGATTTGGCGCTACGGGCTAGACTGTGAGCAATATGCCTTTATGATTGCATTTAAATTGTGTTTATGTTATGAGTGTTGTGTTTGTTTTTACGTTTGTGTTTTTTTTTTGCGTTCGTTTGTGTTGTGTTTAGTTTTGTTCTGTTCCCAAGTTGGTACATTTAAAAAAGATTTACCGTGGCGGAGCACGGGATGCAGCTAGTATATATATATATATATATATATATATATATATATATATATATATATATATATATATATATATATATATATATATATATATATATATATATGTTACGTCCAAGCAGGGCGTAGCGAGGGGGGGGCGGGGGGTGCGGACCGCACCTGGTGACACCATTTAGGGGGGTGACACCAAGGCAAAAAATAGCAAAATATATAGAGAAAAACTCGAGGGGGGGGGTGCAAATCGAAAGTTTGAGGGGGGGTGCAAATCGAAAACTTGAGGGGGGGGGGTGCAAATCGAAAGTTTGAGGGGGGGGGGGGGTGCAAATCGAAAATTTGAAAGTTTGTCCCTGGGAAGGGTCTCTATGCCTCTGGGGGGGGGGGGGGGTGACACCATTAAGTGCCGCACCGGGTGACACCCGACCTCGCTACGCCACTGCGTCCAAGTTAGATTCGAATTCAAGAACGACTCGGTTTAACGTTCAATACGTTTATTAGGTCTCACATATCACATTACAGAATAGCCCTCGACCTAACCACTATCAACTAACCCCTGACAACCATTCACTCCAGCTTTTATACCGCATTCGACCTTGGGATAACAATACACAAACACACCGGGGTTAACAATATTCTAGGGTAAACTCAACTCATACACTCACTCTCCCCTAATTCTAGATCATTCTATCCTATTCTAGTCTAACCTACAAATGACCCGTAACACTACCCCCCACCCAAGTATTCAGTGTTTCTTCCAGACTTTTTTCTCCGGGGGGGCACTTGAAATCTTCGGGGGGGGGGGGCGGTAAACTTTCTTCGGGGGGGCGGACACTGTTAAAAGTATATATTTTCTATATAAATTATATAAATTTCATATCGTTTGGGGGGCGGTAAAAAATTTTCGGGGGGGGGGGGGGGGCTTCGCCCCCCCGAAGAGATGCCTGGAAGAAACTCTGCAAGTATTTGTAGTACATACTACAAATACTAACTAAATCCCCAAATCCTAAGTTAACCTAGAGGGCGAAAAACAAACAGAGAAAAAATAAATAAATAAATAAAATAATTAAAAAAAAATGGTTTGACAGTTATACTACACCAAGAGGAGAGTAAATAAATAATGCATTTATAAACCTTTTTGTACATGAATCCAAGACAAACAACCGAGTAAAAGCAACCGGAAAAAAAAAACAAACATAAAAAAAAAACAATTATGTGGTTTAGGTTACAATTTACATCTCAGACTTCCGATCTAAAATTTCTTGACAAAAAATCAGCTAGAAGATTATCCCTCCCCGGAATGTGTTCTGTAGTAAATTTATATTCCTGTAGCAGTAAGGACCAGCGCGTCAGTCTGGCATTATTGAACCTACATTTATGAAGGTATTTTAGAGCACGCTGGTCCGTCTGCAGTACGAAGCTAGCGTTGTATAAATACAACGCTAGTTTGCCTGTGGCCCAGACAATTGCTAGGCACTCTCTTTCTATAGTAGAATACCGAGTCTCTCTCGGTTGGAGTTTTCTACTGATGTATTTTACTGGTCTCAGGACCCCATTTATCATTTGCATCAAGGCTGCCCCGATACCTCGTGACGAGGCGTCGGTCCTGAGGATAAATCGCTCATTGATATTAGGTAAAATAAGAAATGGTTCTGAGTTCAAGTGTTTCTGGACCAGTCTTAAAGCACGGTTACATTCATCCGACCACGCGACCTTTTCAGGTTTACCCTTTGCTAACAAATCTGTCAGTATTGCGTTGGCCTCGCTGAATTCTGGTATAAATTTAGCATAATACCCTATAAGACCCACTAATGATCTTACCTCTTTCTTTGTGGTGGGTATTGCTACGTTTAAGATTTTGTTTACCTTGTTTCTCTCTGGTGTCAATAGCCCCTTCCCCACTACGTGCCCTAGGAAATTAATTTTATCAAACCCTAGCTCTAATTTGGCAGGTCTTACTGTCAGGCCCGCGTCCATCAATCTATTGAACACCGCCTTTATTGCCATAAGGTGTTCCTCCCATGTCTCGCTGTAGATACAGATGTCATCAAAAAATGACACCACATTTTCCAAGTCTTTTAATACGACTCGCATTAATCTGGCGAATGTGGCGGGTGCCGTGCATAGGCCAAAGGGCAGGTAATTAAACTGAAATAGGCCCCAGGGTGTGACAAATGCGGTGAGTTTCTTGCTGTCATTTTGCATGGGGATCTGCCAATATCCTTTTGTGAGGTCGAGTTTAGTAAAATATTTTGCCCTATTTAATTTAGCGAACAGCTCATCTGTATCTGGGATGGGTTCCGCGTCGTAGACTGTGACTGCGTTAAGTCTCTTATAGTCTACACAGAACCGTGTCGACCCATCTTTTTCTTAACTAGTACTACAGGTGCGCTGTAGTCGGAGTCGGACCTCTCTATTATCCCCAGTCTCTCCATTTCGTCCATCTCTTTCTTCATAAGCTCTCTTCGGGCGTATGGTATGCAGTAGGGTTTCGTTCTTATTGCTCTGGTGTTGGTCAGTTTTATTTTATGTTCTAGTAAACTTGTTTTTCCAGGTAAGTTGCTAATTACAGCCGTGTACTCTTTGATAATTATGTTTAGGTCCGTCCGCTGTGTTTTTGTCAGGGTGTCTCCTATTTTGATATCACTTAACTTAGTTTCCTCCAGTATGTCGGGAGTTTTTATTGTGTCCAATGGGATACCCGGTTCCAAGGCCTCCTCATCTGTTAGTGATACTTGGTTTTCTTCTTCTGCCTCCACCACTCCTGACACTGCCGCTAACATGGGGTGCTCCTTGCTGTCGTCTGGTTTTTGTCTGTGATGGTACAGCATCATCCGATTTACATGGACCACCTTAGTGCTGTCCCCTGTTTTAATAACATAGTCCAAGTCTCCGATTTTTTTTAAGACTTCGTAAGGTCCCGCCCACCTTAGCTCTAGTTTGTTTAATAGTTGGGGCTTCAATATCAGCACATGATCCCCCACTTTGATATCTTTGGTTGTGGCTGATCTATCGTAGTGGCTCTTTGCTTTATCTTTCTCAAGTTCTGATTTGCGGGTTGCATAACTGCATGCAGTTTGCAACTGCTGCTTAAGGTCCAGCAGGTAGTCATATGCAGCTCTTGTCTTATATTCCCTCACTTCTCCTGTGAGGACATCCTTTAGGATGCTCATCGGGCCCCTCACTTTCCTGCCGAACATAAGTTCGAATGGCGGGTAACCAGTGCTTTCGTTTGGAACTTCTCTGTAGGCGAAAAGTCTGCTGGGATGAACACGTCCCAATCGTCATCCTTGTCTATAGCTACTTTCTTTAGCATTTCCTTCCAAGTTCCATTCCATCGTTCTACCGCCCCGTTGGCCATGGCGTGGTATGCAGAAGCGTGAATGATCTTAATCCCCAACATTTTAGACACGGTGCAGAAAATTTCCGACGTGAACTGGGTCCCATTATCTGAGAGTATGACTTCCGGGAATCCCATCCTCGTGAAGATGGAGAGTAGCGCATCTTGAATCTCTGCTGTCGTTACACTTTTCAGCGGTACGGCTTCTGGCCACCGTGTGCATATGTCTACGGCTGTGAGTATGAATCTGTTCTTTTTTTTCGTTTGAGTTAGTGGTCCCACAATATCTATTGCGATTTTCTCAAACGGCTGTCCCACTACCTCAGTTCTACCCAGAGGCGCCTTGCCACCAACATTCTTTTTGCTTTTCTGGCAGACATCACAACTTTCGCAGTAACGCCTGATATCCTCCCCTGCCCCTGGCCAGCTAAATTGTGACAGAATTCTGGCTTTCGTTCTTGCTACACCCATGTGCCCCGCCATAGGTGTATCGTGTCCTAATTTCAGGATGGTGGGCCTAAGTCCCCTTGGGATTGCTAGTCTAATCTGATCTTCTGTTTTGCTGTGTTTTATGATCTTATATAATAACCCATCTATCGTTTTACATTGTTTGCCCTTTTCCGCGAGCTTCCACCACCTAGCCAATGTTTTGTCTTCGCTCTGTTGCGTTTTAAAATCTTTCGGTGTCGTTATTTG